TTACCAAAAAAATTTAACCCGGCAAAGTCTTACCAAAAAGTTTTACTAAAAATTACCATCTATTCTGAGTTTTTTAAAGCTTTATTACGCAATCTGTTATAATATTGGACCACATAATAGCCCTTAACATGCAATAGACACCGCCCAGAACTCGAGCCAGTGGGCTTACCATATTCACTACACAGAACGCGTACCTTAGATTTCCAATGAAAGTGGCACCCTTTGAATCGCATGCAAGGCCTACCGCAAGCCTCACTATTATTGTGTAAATATGGGCAAGAATATTCTCCGATCATTTTTGCTTATAGAGGAAAATAATTAATTAAATAAAAAAGTCTGTAAAGGTATTATATATCCTATAAGTTTCCATCATCAAGGAAAATAATTAATTAAAATAAAAATTTTATAAATATTATATACAAATCAAGATGGCTAAAGGTAAAAGAATTTGTGATAGATGTGGTTATAACTTTGCAACACCACATAAACTCCGTGATCATTTAGAAAGAAAATTCAAATGCAAACCAATTACTCAAATCACAATTCCCCAAGGCGTCCCTCCTCCCATTCCCCACATTCGAGGAAGAGATCGAAGGCGAGAAATAGCAAAAAGAAATAAATCACCAAAACCAATTTCCCAAGAAGCTGGTCCAGGCCCAGCAACCCAAGCATATAGAGAAGAAATAACCTCACAGAACGAAGTTCAAGAGGTAAAATATGCTCCAGAAAACTATTTTCGATCAATTTACAAAGTAGAAGACGGAGTTATAGAAAAAGAGCCACCCACAAAAAATATAAAATTTTTAGAAAAAAGACCAGACCCCACTAGACAACACCAAAATCTTAAATCTATGACGGTATGGGAGGGCATAGTGCCATCAAACAAAAATTCTGCATATGCTTTTAACAAACGTCTAAGCAATCAGATAAAATATGCAGATGTGCCTTACATGCCACAACTCATAGATTCAACACGAAACGCAATTACAGATGTTCTCAAAAAAGAGCTTCACAAAAAGGATCAAATAAAATCGGCATTGGTTATAAATGCCACATACATAAAATATGAATATAAAGGAATCGGTGATACGGCTGATATAAAAAACTATAATACAAGTTATCACCACCCTTATCATAGAAGCAACATGCATGTACTCCTTTCAGAAAATGATATAGACCAGCATTTAACACAATCTGTCGGGAAATCGATGAAAAGATTGAGGCATATATGAAGGAAGGGTCTGGCAAAATTCTTATTAGATTAGAAATGATATTAATTGAAACATATACACTTCGTAGATCCAATGGAGGTTCCTATATTCCTACTCCCAAAAAGCTTGCCAATACAAAATGCACTATCAATCCGAATAATCAAGATTTAGTTGACCCAGAAACAAATTCTTTATCAGAAAAATGTCTTCAAGGAGCTTTAGGAGCTTACTTTGCCTATCAAGATGGGAATACAGAACATCTTGAACGAATCTTCTGAGCCAAAAAACTCAAACCCTATTTAGATATTGTCAAACTTGATAACATCCCAATGTCTACACCAATCTGTTCACGTATATTTAATAAGATTGAGGAAATGAATCCAGATATCTCTATTAATGTCTGGGAATGGAAAGAAGAATTAGCAACTCCCAAACCGGTAATAGCTAGCAAGAACTATAATAGACAACATATTATATATCTCATGGCTCTTACAAATATTACCAAATCTGAGGACGAAAAATATGGACAAAAAAATCATTTTCTTTGGATCAAAAATTTAGATGGATTGGTTTATAAAGATAATGTTAAAAAGTATCTATATAACCGATACTTTCAAAGTTTCCAGTCAGAAAAATCTTTAATCTATCACCAAGAGCACTGTTTCGGTTTGGGGGAGGCTACTTAAAGAGTCACTTTACCTACCAAGGGGGTTAATGATTTTGAAAAGTTTAAAAATTATACCTGGATGATTAATGCCTCATGTGTTATTATAGCAGATTTTGAAGCGGACAACCAGAAATGCAATGAAGAATATGAAGGACAAATGCAAAAACTTGCCGAGCAAAAAGCTAATAGCTTTTGTTATCTAGTTCATTGGTTCGATACTGGAGACATATGGGGCCTTTTCTATATCGAGGAGAAAATGCTACTCAAGAATTTGTCTGAAGAATTAATAAGGAGTTGGCCGAAATTAATAAAGTTTTAGCTATTAAGCATGACCGAATTGTGACAGAAAAAGATAAAAAAAAATTTGCCAAAGCCGATACCTGTTGAATTTGTAAAGATAAATTTGATATAGATGATAATAAGGTCTGGGACCACTGCTACATTACAGGTAAGTTTCGTGGGCCTGCCCACAACGCATGTAATCTTAAACTCCAGATCGAAGCATGGAAGATACCAATTCCAGTTATCTTTCATTACTTCCGGGGCTATGACTCTCACTTGGTTTGCGAATCTGTTGGGCAATCTGTTAATGCACACCAAATCAGGGTCATAGCCGAAACATTTAAGCGATACAAGTCTATAAAGGTAGGTCAGCTTAAATATATAGATAGCAAGCAATTTATGAATAATAGCTTGGCAAATCTTACGAAAAATCTGAGCAACAATCATCCTATTACAAGCCAGTACTTTAAAGACTATTCTTTAGATCAAATTTCATTAGCAAGTCGTAAAGGAGTTTATCCTTATGATTATATAGATTCTCAAGAAAGATTTAAAGAAACAGAGCTTCCTCCTATCCATGAGTTTTATAGTACTCTTAAAGGCAGGATTTCACAAGATGACTATTATCACGCCCAAAAAGTATAGAAAACTTTTGGTTGTAAGACTCTAGGAGAGTATCATGATCTCTATCTTAAGATTGACATACTTAGTCGAGCAGATATTTGGACCTAATTTTGAAAAACATGTATGCAATATTATGAGCTCGATCCTAGCCATTACATATTTGCACCCGCACTAGCTTGGGACGCTATACTTAAAATGACTAGAGTTAAAATCGAGCTCTTTACAGATATGGCTATGCATAATTTTATAGAAAAGGCTAAGCATAGAGGAATAGCTATAGTCTGTAAATGCTATTTCAAAGCAAATAATTCTAAGATAGAGGCATTTAATCTATCCAAGCCTACAACATGGATTTTATATGTTGATGCAAATAATTTTTACGGCTGGGCCATGAGCCAGTATTTGCCTATAGGAAATTATCAATGAGAGGCAAGTTAGGAATATTTGCTTAAGAATCCTGAAATGCAAAAGAAATATCTTAATAAGATTCTTAATACCGAATCAAATGCTAAAAAAGGATATTATCTAAATATTAAGATACACTTTCCTCTAAAGACGCATGACTATTTGAGTGATTTACCCTCAGCCGTAGAGAATATGGCTGTAAGTAAAAATATATTGTGCCCCTATACTACAGAGCTTGTAAATAACTTGGATAGAGAACGGTTTTTAGCAACAAAAAAATTAGTTCTACACCTTGGTTCACGAAAAGATTATGTTATCCATTACCAAGAACTCCAATATTACGTAAAATTAGGTATGATAGTTGATGAGGTTACAAAAATCTTATCTTTCGACCAAACTAACTAGCTTGCCCCTTATATAGCCTTTAATACAGAAAAGCGACAAGGCGCTAAGAATACTTTTGAGAAAAATTTCTTTAAGCTCATGAATAACTCAGTATATGGCAAAACTATGGAGAATGTTTATAAATATCAAGATGTCAAGCTCATGGCTATGAACAATGATCAAGACGAAAAAAAGTTTATTAAGCAGATCCATAAACCCTCTTTTAAATATGCCAGACAGCTTGGAAATACACTTGTAGGATCACATATGGGAAAGGCCACTGTAACTCTCAACAAGCCTATTATTGTTGGAGCATCAGTTCTGGGTCTTAGCAAGCTCTTGATGTATCGTTTCTGATATGGGTATATAAAAGAGAGATACAGTAATAAAGCCTAGCTTGTATATATAGACACAGACTCATTCATATTCCAAGTTGAAACTGAAGATATATATAAGGACATGGTTGAGCAACCAGACCTTTTGATCTTAATGATTCTAAGACTATTGGGCTTTTTAAAGATGAGACTCCAGGCAACGTAATTACAGAATCTTATCATATCCAGGCCAAGTTATACCACCATGTCTTAGCAGATAAGTCTACAAAGTTTAAGCATAAAGGAGTAAGCAAAAAGGGTATGAATGAAATAGCTACCGACACATATTTCTCATTTTTAGATGGAACTCTACTAGAGGATCCGGTAGACAACATTAAAGTTTTCGATCTAATGACCCAAGTTTATCGAGACTGTCTATTTAGTAAAGAAGTATTCTATGCCAAGAATGTAGGTATTCGGTCAAAGGATCATATATTATCTTTGGTCGAATTAGAAAAGAAGGCTTTATGCCCAATAGATACTAAGCGCTAGATCCTATCAGATGGAATTACTTCTTTGCCATATTTCTATTGGCACAATAAAGCTTATAAAAATATGGTTAAAGATAGTATATCTAATGAAGAGGCTGAAAAAAAAGCCATAAGAGCCAAGCTCCCAGAAAAGTATCAAAACAAATATACGTCTCACTTAGCTAGCTTATCGCCATAAACTAGACTAGTGAAAAATTCCTTGAGATTTTATTGGTTTAGCTATGACATTGAATGTCACACTTCTTCCAATAAGATTTTTCTTACATGCTCGAGTGAGAATCATGAGAAGGCGGGCCAAATACCAACTTGAAACATTCCTACTACTTTCTCGCAATACTTGTAAGCTGGCTTAGCCAATTATAAATAGTTAAAATATATTGATAACAAATATATTTTTTTTTATTCAAAAAATTTAACTAGATGCTGATCTAATTTAACGAGCTCAGACACTGTGTTCAGACTAGTGTTCTGACCCGGGTCAGATAATAGTGACCCGACGGGTCAGACATTTAACCTGGGTCATGACCCGGGTCAACGGGTCATATGGGTCATATGGACTTCAAATAAATTTATGAATTTTTTTTTTATACTACACTGGTAAAAAATAAAAAATTCGATGTGCTGAATAGCACTATTTGAATGCTATTCGACATGCACCATTCCTACATTCATGACTTCACGGACGTGAAATCATGTAACAAGTTGAATGGAGCATTAAAAGGGATGTCGAATAGTGCCATTTGGCAGATTGAATTTTTTATTTTTTTACCAGTGCTAATTTATATAGTAATATTAAAAAAAAGGGTTAAAAACATTTACAGCTATTATCATAATTCCTGAAACACCTGATAAAAATTAGCTGAATGATTTTTCGGCGATTTGGTTAAGTTATAGATTTCGGAAATAATAAGATTCAGTAAACAGATATATCAGATATGCAATTTAATAAAATCAGATAATTAATATATATTACAAATAT